AGGACTGTTTTCGGACTCATATCACCGGGTGCGGGGTGTTACCATATGTGTGCGGTGTATTCCACATGGGGACATAGACCCAGAGCTAATGGAGTATTTTCCTCTGCGCGATCAGAACAGGACTCGTGGACAGAGGCGCACATTAATGAAGCTTCCGTAAATGGGATTACCTCTCAAGTACCGACTGTCAAGCAGGGTAACCAAACTATGGAACTTCTTCCAGCTGATGCGAAGGATGAGATCAATGATAACATGTTCAAGAGGAAGCTCGACCGCGTTCTTCGTGAAATGTGATATGCAGATAAGACTTGATTGCATACCTCGAGTTTGTGGTGACAAATTGTATACGGAAAGTTTCCCACTACCCCTATTTGACGAACATTGAACATATTCCTTACGTTTTACAGTATTCGTGTGCTTAAAACTGCTAATGCTGATTATAACAGTAGGGACTATCAAATGCGGTATATCGCATTATATATATATATATGTATATATATAAGTGAAACAGTTGTAACTTCAAATGAATCCCATCAAGTACACTCTACAAGGAACCCAACAATCTAATTGGTGGGACTCCCTTGAAGTTGACAAGGTATAGGAGCACACATCAAAGAGTGAGGGAGCTCGGGCAGAAATTGTTTGATCTTCTGAGGATGGTAAACATTCAGGCATGTGAACTACATAAGACGGTATTAATGCTGGTAAAGNAAATCTGAGAACTACAACAACATGTCGATGGGTTGGAACGTCATCATCGAATGTAAACCCCGCGGCATAGGTTTGTCTTATCTGCTTCAAGCATGATCCATACTATCGTGAACATTTACACAAGATTTCAGTTGATCAAACGGAGACATTTCCGTGAGAAAAAGTACATATATAACATATAAGTAAGCTTGGTGTCAAGAAACAACAAACAAACAACAAGAATAACAGATTGCGAGGGGTTGGGATAAAAGCAGAGTAAAGCTGGATCAGAACGTTAGTTTGAATAACGAGACTAACAATGTTTTGTTTCATCAGACGTTTTTGATATTTTTTGTTTTCTAGCTTTCTTAATGGGTCACAAAATTTAAAAAGGCAGCTAATACCTGCATTCCCACCATTGACCTCTACTCTGGGCTGTATCTCTCAGCGTCTCTTACAAATGAAAATCCTTATCCTTTGGGCCCCAAACCGGAAGGCTGGCTGCACCAAACAAAGCCATGGCTGAAGCTAGCTTCTTCATACCTCTAAGTCGTGTCATGGTCTGAGCGCCGCGGACATTCTTCCAGCCTTGCTATGCACGTGCAAATAGAGCACTGAAAGCTCGTCGATAGGTTGACAAACGTGATCAAGCCATTGGAGGCGATATAGAGCTACTACGTCTTTTAAAGAATGGCTATCTACACCAAACAGACGACAAAAACCTCGGTAGTGCTTACTCGATGTTTCCACCAGACACGAGACACTGGTGGATGAATAAAAAAGGTCAATTAGCATCCTCAACTCAGAAGGACCATGTCTCTTGGCAGTAAAACAGAACACTACAAGTCTCGGTGCTGTACACCTTTCCCCTAAGAGATAAACGGATGTCAACAGCACTACAGATGTCGCAGGTTGGTAAAAGCTGCTATAGAATTCCGTATTCGAAATGTGGTCTCGTCTCAAACACTACCATCAACTTTAATTAAGCTATTGAGGTGTGAAGTAACGTCGACTACGACTGAGCGTGACGCGCTTCAGAACAAGAACCCCGAGCTCGGAACATAACCAAGTTACAGCTGGTTAAACCAGAAGAATTGTGGTTGTTATAGACGTTTATTGAGGTACCGTGGTACAGTGGAAGTACCCGTACCGGCTAACGAACATTTGCGTTAAAGCACGAAGGCGAGCAAACCAACGAGCGCGATAACGAGTAAAACGGAGCAAAAACAAAAAGTGAAAGTTTCCCTCGCGGAAGGATACAGCAGTTTTCGATCGTATAAACCAAACGTTACATGGCGTTGGTACTGAAGTGAAAATGTGAACATACATTTAGATCGTAGAGGAAAAAGTCTGAAATGTTCCGGTTTTCACCGTACCTTCGGGAACACTACATGATCACAGCAGTGGTTGAGTGTAGGCACAGGCTCCTACCACTACACTACACCACTACACTTTATCCTTTGATAGTGCAAAGCATATAACATACCTAGATACCTCGATCGCCAAGCGGTTCAAAGCCTGTTGGACTGCCTGTGCGTTGTCACCCAGCAAGGTGGTATCATCGGCATATTCTATGTCAAGGACTCTGTTCCCTGAGAGGAGTTCGACTCCCCCGTTTGCTAGACCGGATAAAGCATTCCGTAGAACAT